AGAGAGAGAGAGAGAGAGAAAGAGAGAGAGAGAGAGAGAGAGGAAGAAAAAGACAAAGAAGATGAAAAAGAAGAAGATTGTGAGTGTTATATCGACTTTCAATTTTATATTGCACTAACACCTGTTTACAAGACTAGGAATCGGAACTTTCACAGTGATTTTCATCAAAAACCCAGTATCATGGAATTAATGCAAGACAGCACACCAAAGTGACCAAAATAAACCACGAGTTAATTTATAACGACGTAAGATAGCAGCAACAGAGTGCAGCAATCTGGAGACCATGGGATGCCTTCGTCTAATCGCCACACACTAGAGATTTCAGCGAAAGACCTTGATTACGTGTCATTCAGCAAACATCAACACGTTGGCCACAACGGGACGGGTCGCTACGGTAAAACCTGCCCAGGCACCATCCATTTCTCTGAGGCAGCTAGAATGGCAAGAATATTCATATTATTGTGTCATGATGCGATGGAATTAGGCGCTCATCATTTTTGGGGGAACATAGAGTAATTGTGTAATTTCACAACCCGTTCATTTGCCTTGCTGTTGATGAATAAAAAAGAATACTCATCTGTCTTGAATGGAAGTAGAAATTCTTGCGATTGAAGGAGGTGGGTGGTCGCCTGGTGTCAGAAGTAAAATTAGCGAGAAAATGACCGCTGAAATTTGTTAACTTCCAAAGCTTGACTGTCCTTTCGGAAACTGAAAAATTACTTTTTTGAGCCTTTGGTCAACTTTCCTTTTCAATAAAATTCACACAGAAATGTTTTTTTAAAGTCGATTTAAATTGCTCAACATGTGGTAAAAATTCAGATTTCTTCGATTTCATTATTTTGACGAGTGCCCAATTTTATTAAGATGAAACATTATTACTGTTTCAAAGGGTATAAGTTAATTTCCATCCCCAACCCCACCTACTCTAAAGTTAAATTAAAAGTGTCTTTCTCGCTTTACGTCACAATAACCCACATAACATGGCCCCACTGAGAGCGGAGACCCCATTTATGCGAAATACATGTAGGTCAAGTTAATTCCGAAAGGGGGTCTAAAATGTACTTTACCATAGAATGTACGTATACCTGCTTTAGAGAACACCTAAGAGGAACAACTTTTTTTAAACACAATATTGTATAAAGTATATTATATCTTTACACTTTTATCTCGTAAATATGCTATCGAGCCACAAGCAAGTTAAGATAGAACAAGTAAGTCCTCATACAATAACCTCTGAACATTTCGCTTCGCAAATTTACTGTGCTCACCTTTTGTTTTAACTCTGGGAAGGAAGGAAGATAGCTTTTGTTTGCGTTTTTAAAGTTTAAATTAGAGTTTAACGGCACTTTGAAAAGAATAAGCCATATAAGTGCTTAAGGATAGAGATGTCCCTAAAGAGAAAAGAGTAGCATGACAGAAAAGAAGGAGAAGAGATAATGACAAACCTCCCTAAAGCACCCGCAAACCGCGCACCTTTTGTCTGCAAAACATCTGCTAGATGAAAAAAAAAGCGCGCACACACGTATTGGGGTATACACAAAATGTAATGTGTCCAGTAATATAATGCATTTTTATTGTATATATACAATATAAATGACTCTCTCTCTCTCTCTCTC